CTGTCGTTAATGGGTTGCCGTTAATTTTGATGCATACAGCAATTTTACTGACGAGAAAGAAGAAAAGCTTAAATGAACCTTAGGCCTTTCACAGTTTCAGTTCAAAGATGAACACAGTGACTCCTTAGAACCCAGAGTTCAATAGCTGTTCACAATTTCAATCCAATTGTCAAACGAATTACTCTCGTTTAAATTAAACTTTCCGTTTTATACTTGTAATAAATAGCAAAAGTGGTTAGTTTGAAAATTGATTGGATTCACTGTACATTGAAAACATACACACTTAAATATTAACGTAAATAGGAAGAATTGCTTTCACTTACCTACATAAGTGTTTCGATACGAACTAGAGATGAGCGTAGGAGAAAATCCCGATGAAGTCGTTTTTACGGAATCGCTACAATAATCGACTTAAAAGTAAATCCAAAATTAGAAATAACTCTGGGCATGGATTTTTGAAGGGTTTCCTTGTAGAAAGTGACAATTTTTTACCCTACCATAGAGACACGTGTCTATGATACTGCACAATCCACAAATATAAAAATTGGTTTGTTTCTTTTTACAATGCGGTAGCATCTGAATCGATGCCACGTTGGCGCTACATTTAAATGACCAAAATAATATTTTTTTCTGATAGTAATAATCTCGCGACCGCTGTGGTGTAGTGGAAGGCGGAACGCGCTTCCACACTGCTCCTGCGGGTGAAATATGGGGTCAAAGGTCAGGCTCAAAATTTTCTGAAATATAAAATTTTTAATTTTTCGAAGACTTGATTTTGACCCCTGTATATAAGTTTTTACAAAAAAAAATTATATACCATTTATATAAGAGCAAAAGGCGGACCACGTCTATATTTTTAATTTTTTAGTTTTTAACATACAATAATTAAAAATAATTTTTTTCCAAAGGTCCAATTTCGAACACCGAAGGCCCATATCGCTATTTCGTAGGCTAACTTCGAAAAACGGAGAAATTACTTTTTTACTTATGACTTAATATCTTTAAAAAAAAGTTGATTTTGCCGTACTGTATAAAAAAAAACACTTAAATTTGTTGTTTTGCGAGCATATTTGCAAGCATATTTACCAATGTTTTAGTGCTTATCTTAGCGCTTAAGATGGATTTTTTCTTGCTTACTTTCTTCGGCGCTGTTAATCTTCGCTCGGCAGGCAATATCAAATTTCTGCATAAAATTATGGAGTGAAAAAACTCCTCCACATTCGGATTCAGCGGGTCGAAATACATGTGGATAGGTCTGGTTAAATGCGCAGACCACTATTTTTTTATTTGTGCCGGTGTAATTGATAGGCGGTGGCGGATGAATAACTTACATATGATAGGTTAGATTGGTGGCGGAAAACTATTACGCCCAAGTAGCAGCTAAGTGCCATTTTGATAAACTTACATATGTTAGTCAAATAGACGACTTCAATTTCCGACTTATTACATCTACATCTAAGCCGTTGGATGGATTGCTGCTAATATTTTTTGTGAATTGTTGAAGCAAATAAACTGCGAAATTATTTTCTTGCTTTCAAAATATAACTAAACAAGGCGAATTTATACAAGGTGGTATTACCGGGCAGCTAATTACAAGGCGAATATGTACTGATTGTCAAAACCTTGTGTTTCTTGTACTTTTTTTTATGTGATTGTTTGGGCTGCTGCTAACACATTGTACAGATTCGCTTTGAGGATAACATTTTCACAGCCCATTGATAAAACGAAGTTCTTATACATGAGCAAATGTGGAGAATTATGTAGCAAACACTTAAAATTACGCACTTAATAAATGCTCGACAAATTTAACAATTTTATACAGACAAGTCAAAAAAGTAGTGAGCAAACCAACAAAAAATTTGATGTACCAAGTTTTTATAAATTAACTAAAAAACATAAAACAACTTTTCCTCGTCTCATAAAATAAGTCTTATGGCCAGTTTCACGAAAGAAAAATGATTTTTTTATTTGTTTTTAATATGGAAACTGGCAGAAAAAAGCAGTTTTCACTTAAATTGCTTTCGTGAAATCGGCAGTTCGTAACTAATTTAATTTACTCCTAAACTAAACTAAATCCTTAAGAGTACACTCAAAAATAAGTTGTCATCAGGACGATGCTATTTAGCCATCAACGTGAAACTTTCGAATATCTCTTATCCTCATTAATCATCTTATCTAAATGATAGTTTCCGTTGTTCAATTGAAATATTTTTCGTTGTCATATTGAAACCAAAAAGAACCAGAAAGACTATATAGGTCTCCATTTGACATTGTTAAGCGTAAAACTTGTGTTTTTCCTCATCAAATCAATAACCAAAATACAAATATAATATTTTTAAATACACTTTCTATATTATTAATGCTTTTATTGATACCCAAAAATGTTACTGTTTGAATGTTTACTGTTTTAACACAAAGTGTATTAAGCCAACAGTGATACTTTTTTTTTTGGAGTGTAGCTGTGATTATCAGGTCTCGAAAACCGACATCTGCCGAAAATTTTAAATCCATTTTCTGAACAGAAGCGACTGGGAGTTCAATATGGTTCTAGACATAGAGTCTGCGTCTTCTCTTAGGAATCATCATCGAGGGAGTCCTATAAACTTCCAGATCACTGCAGCGTTTTCCAGGCAAATCTGGTAAGCATTATTGAACTACGTCCCATCATTTATTTGCGAGTAGCCTGAACTCCAAAGAAAACGCCTCAAATTTCTGGAAAGTCTAAACAGCTTAGGACAAACTTTATTGGAGGGTCTGTTAGGTTTCACCAGGGAATCAGGCTGGTTTAAAGATATGTAGGGATAGACATGGCGATACCCTTTGGGCATCGCAATGGGCCCCTATGGCCTCCGAGTGAGCTCCTCGCGAACCTAACTTTCTCAAATCCTTTTCAAATCTTTGGCCAAATTTCAATTTAACAACATAATAAAAAAGTATGAACGGGCCTTAAATCGAAAATTCTAAAAGTAGATTTTTTAACAAAACCCTAGGAACAAGTTTAAATGGCAACAAAATAGTTGCTCTTGATTTTAGTTGGGATAATGTAATTTGCGATAATTTGCGTTTTACAAGTAAAAAATACCGATTTTTCTAAGGTGCTAATGTAAGAAAAGCACCATTTGTTTCAAATTGGTTAGTAAGAAGGAACAAACAAAATTCAATGCACTTTTCCAAAAGGATGATTATGTACAGTAAATATGGGTATGTTTGCATTATAGGTCCTGAAAGGGTTAAAAAAGTGTTTGGTTGCGAATGGTTTAGGTTAGGAAAGTTAGTCTCATTTAGGTTTTTCTTAAGTTTATGGTTCAAAAAGTATGATTTTGAAGCATTCTTTATATTCGCATAGCTCAAGAAATACCATGAAATATTTTGATTCATACAATTTTCATGTACATATGTATTTTCCCAACAAACATTTAGGTTTGAGCTCAACTTGAGGCAAGGCGAATTTATACAAGGTGGTGTTGATGTGTTTGTTGTAAGCAAGGCGAATTCATTTTACAACAAACACATCATATTGACATTAATAAGTACCGCGGCGAAAATCTAAATTCGCCAGGAACGTATTTCTCAAATCTCCAACGTTTTTTCTCAACGGTACCTCAAGTAGAGGATCATAGCGTTCTCAACAAAAAGGACATATCACTGAAATACTGAAATTGAAATAGTAAAATAACTAATACAGTCCGACGGTAATTTTGTCACTTGATTCACTTCGCGTTTTATTTTCTTTCAAGATTATTTGAAAACACTTTGAACATTATTTACTTTTTTTGGTAATTTTTCTCTTTATATAGCTTCAGTTTTTCACTTGATAATTAAAAATTCATTTCCTTATCACTTGTTACGTATCTCTGCGTCGGTTAGAGATGAGTTGGAGAACGATGTTGGATATCAACTCCAGAACTATGGATTTCTCCTAGCTTGGATAGATATTTTTTTGGTGTTTGTTGAGTTTCCATTACCCGAAATCGCACGCTCATCCCTAGAGTAAACTTATAGTTGATTGAGTTGATTTGAACGTGTCGCTTATTGTGTTAACCTTATTGTTTTTATGCATTTTACAGCAGATACAGATATTTTTTTTTTTAATTTTCTCCCACTTCATAAGCAACTAAATTAGGTTACAAGCTACAACAACAAAAATCATCATTTATGCACATACATGCCTACATACACATGTAGATACATATGTGCACATGTAAGTTCATGTGCAAGTAAATAATTTCCACACTTCCCTTATATTCCCTATCTCGTTGAAGTGAAGTTATTTTTAAAGACCACCCGCCGTTGTTCACTTGTTTAACTGTCATGCTGGCTTCTGCCATTCTCACATGCTGTACAAGCTTTTGTTACTCATATGTGCCACGTGTATGTACATACATACATATGTAGGGCTTCTAGTTGGGCATGCTACTACATAAATGCTTGGTCAATGTTCAGCATAGGAAAGCAAGCCGCAGAGCTGCCGTTTCCGTTTTATACGCTCACCCTCAAGCCAAAGCAACCACCCCACTGAACAGAAAAAGGTGCCACAATCACTATATTTAAACTGTTATCATAGCCGCTGCTGCTAAAAGTGCCGTGAAGGCTGTCAGCAGGACAAGAATAGAATAGAAATGGACCATTGAAACTTGTATGCTCCTGCTACATAAATATGAGTAGCTTGGTTACGGCTTCAAGCTTCACAACGGCGTTCGACTCCAGCTGGCCGCATTCGCAGTCTCCTCTCGGTCATAAGCACGTGTGGTCAGCACTTTCGCGCGCTTTCGTTTTTCTACTTAGTTATGAAAAGAAGTTAAGAAGTCTGTGAGAATATTTGTTGCAGCAAGCTCGACAACTTGCGCCATTTATCGCGCCTCGTGGAATTCCTATTGCACGCACGCCTGTCGAAGTGTGCGAGTGACGCGTGAACGCATTTCCCGACACCTCTTGACTGCTTGCAGTGCCAATTTTTGCCAACAACGCATCGCTTTGCCGCAAACGTGACCTTTCGCAATATGTGCCTGAAGCCGGCGCCAACTATAAGCAGACTTGTGTGCAGCGTGGTACTGTTGACCTTCATTCATGCTAGTATTTGTCATGAGATTGCAGCATTGATGCAGAAAGATTTGTGGTTAGGTTCGTGTGCCGCAAAGTACCAATTTACTCCGCCAACAATAATTAATATATTCAGTAATGAATTTTTTTCTCTCTTTGCTGCCCCAACACCATCCCACGTAATGTAGGGTGCTCGTGCATGTATGCCAGTGAGCGTAATGCAACCAATTGGGGCAACTTTACCATTAGCGGCAGCACTTTGCGTGGCGCCAAAAATGATTGCTACTTGATTTTTATCGCGGGTGCCAGCGATGAGTTGGTCGCATTTCGCTTTCAGACGCTGCAACTGTCTGCCCGGTAAGTCAAGTGCGAATATGCATATATTTATTTATGTACTCACGTATGGGTATTTATGCGTGTAAAAGTGTTGTAATGAATATTTTTGCGAGGTGAAATTATTTGGTCACCTTACATATGTAAACACTTACATGTATGTATATTCCCCGAAGAGCTCGTTCTCAAGCAGATAAAAGAAAAAACTACACATTTATTGTAAATGTAGAAAAAGATTTTCTTGTTATCGCTTCATGCCTACCGTCCACCGATGATTTAACGTCCTCCAATGCTGCATTAATAAAATTATGTTTGCGGAAATGTGAAAAGTCGACAAATTGAAAATCGAATTCGTGAAAAATAGACCGAAAAGGAATCATGAAATCTAAAAGCAAAGAAATTCTGAGTTGAAGTGAAGCGTAACTTCAGGGTAATATTTTTCTAATTACGCAGCAGCAATGGCAATATACACTGCCGGCGCAAAGTATTGGCACAGCAAATTTTTTACAATATATGCAACAATATTTGTTCGAATATATTTTCGCCAATTTTGTATAAAAATTTAGTTCATTCTACAACCAAAAACGTAAAAATATGATTCCTAACCTTTGTGCAGAACTCGCAAAAATTCAGCAAATTTTCATGCAAATTTTCAACTTTTTAATTAGAATTTTTTTGAGTATGCAGATTTGTAGCCAATCAATATTATATTTTATTATAATAAAGTACAAGTTTTAAGTAGCTCGAAATTGCCGTTGATTTTTGAGATTTATTTTCACGCAGTCTCTTCCATATAAAAATTATATATATGGGAAAATTGCAAAACACCTTCAACCATAAAAATTATCTAAAATCAATGCGATTTTTGACTAACTCCGCATTTACATTTTTTTACTAGAATTAATGGGCTGCAAAACTGGATACACAAAAAAATCTTATTAGAAATTTGCAAATTTGCACATCAAAAAATTTTGTACATACAGTGACGAATAAAAGTATTGGCGCAGAGAGAGACAGAAACAACAAGATTTTTTAACAATTCAAACTCGTCCTTTGTTATACTAAAATTGAATCGGATTTTAAACTGCATACTTATAGCCTTATTCATTAAAAAAATAGTTTTGAAAAATGTTTATAAATTTTAAAATTTATGAAAACGTCATTTAATAAAGCTCTTTAAACCTACTTTACTTTTTATGAATAAGGTCATTAGAATCTTTCTAACAAATCTGAATATAGTTGCAAAATAAGTATGCAAATTCATTGAATTTTCCTGAGTTTTAAACAAAGATTAGAGATTTTATTTTTATGTTTTTTTGTATAAACTATATTTGTGTTAAAAATTATCGAAAATACATTGGAATGGAAAACTGTGCATATATTTCGAAAAATTTCTTGTGCCAATACTTTTGTTCGTCACTGCACATAACTACGTACATATGTATACTTGTGGGTACATACTAGGGTGTTCGATTCTTTGCATTTTTCAGAAACCGGGTTTCGAGTTATTTGAAAATTGGAAATTAAAAAAAAAAACTAGTTCCTCATTTTCAAATTACGGAAAAACGGATAAATGGGTTTCATTTTGCATATTTTCTCTACATATTTTGCTTTTGTTGTTGGCCTTTGAATTTTTAATTATGAATCAATGACCAGGCACAATCAAGAGTTCCTGAAGATGACCTCAGATTGAGGTCGAAATATCGACAATTAAAATATCAATAGAACGCAGTTTTGCGTTTTATTTAATTGCTGGGCCTCGAGCTGCTTAAAAATTATTGACATTTTCTCTACAGTAAAGGAAATTACAATATGACTACTAAAAATAGGTATAGCTGTAATTTAAAAGTTAATAAGGCAAAATAAACCCCCAAAACCCCTACTTGTATTCGCCGCTGAAACTATATAATAATCAACACATTCGTCAACTCTCACTCCTTGAATTCCTTCATCGGAGATCAGACTAAACTGTTCAGTCCAATTTGAATACAATACCCGACAACACTCTTACCACCTCTTCACATGCTCACTACATCAGCTCAACTAACATCGTTCTCCCTTCGCGAAACCATATAATAAATAATCAGAATTTTTGTATTCTGGTTTATAACTAAACTAAGTGAAAACCCAGTTTGTTCGAAAGTTACAATAATCCGGTTTATGCGGTATTCGATATCAATATTAAAAAAATAAAAACACCTAAAGTTATTCCACAACACCGATTGAAACCGGTTTGGAGAAACCTTGCCAATCGCCCGTCGAATTGGGAAAAGAGCTGGGAACGCTCTGATTTTTACAGGCTGTGTATACCTGCAGCAATCACATTAAATGCTGAATAAACCACTAAGCCAAATACTGAATGTATGTAATTTATCGGGAATCAAACTTACCTAAACAAAATCGAAAGTGTTATGGCCAGAGTTGCTGTTTTTCCTAAAATTAAGCAAAGTTAATAAATTTGCTGCTTTCTGCTTAAATGCTAAATTATTCTTCGTTCACTTAAATTTTTTAACGATCTGAAAATTATAAGATATTTGCTTCAACAATTAACAACTCCGTAAGAGATACAGCTTTTTATTTCTGTTGCTGGAAAAAGTACATTGTATTTCTTTGCTATTGGTTGTGTGTCATTTTATATAACTTTTTCGTGTTTCTTAAGAGCTGGAAACTGCCCCTATCATCTAAAAATCAAGATTTTTTCGAAAGTAGTGTCTATATTTACCCTATAAATGTGTCCACCAGTGTAATTGCTTAATCATTGGGTAAAGCCTGCACAGCTAATTGACATCAAGGCGTTAGTTTTACTGCCTTCGTTATTAAACCTTTTCTAGGAATTGTTGTTGCTAAAAGCCTCTAGAATGTGGGCCGATTTAGTAGAAAAAGCGCGCAAACACGGCAACGCGTGCAGCAAATAACACGCAGACTACATGCCACCCAATTTAATGTTCAATTTAGGTATAAATCGAAACAGATGATTAGCTGGAAAAGAGCCTAAGAGTTCGTCACTCAACACATCGCTGCGAAAACCCGCATACCTAATCCTTGCAAGTGTTGCGTCTTCGGGTGTTATGTATTAGTAATCCCATCGGTTCAATAAAAGCAAATATTCAGGACAGCTGTCCGACGTTGAAGGCAACATGAGTTTTTTCCCACCTGCAGCCCCTCGATGCCTCCCAGTCATTGCTGAGCGAACTATTCACCCACATCCTGACGATGCCGTTGATATCCCAAGGTGAGGGATGCTATAACTGGTTGCGGACCGAGGAATACCTGGTCTGAGCGCTCTCTGACAAAATGGTCAGATGCCTTGTGACCTGCTACGCAGAGTAAACCCATTTCCAACATAATTTAGTTAAGGCATTAAGCCAATTCGATTTTGTAGCTGAAAAGTTAAAATCTATAGTATGTTGGTCTAAAAGCATAAACAGACGGCAGCGTTGATCCGGATCAACTCGGGAATTAACTGCAGTTGATCCGGATTAGGACCGAGTTAATCGGGATCAACGCTGCCATCTATTTAACCTTTTAGATATTAACTGGACAAGGCTGGAGCAAATCTTTTCTGACATGATCCCCAACAGGTTCTCTATGGGATCCAAAATAATATTTAAAGCCGGCCAGATTAGTTCTTGGAACCAACTTTTTACAATACTCGTCCTACTGAACGGCTTACTGACCTGTTGAGAAATAGCATCATAATCACAAGCATCGTACAAAAATGTTATGAGTAGGCTGAATTATTGAAAAAAAGTTGTATCCATTGATCCTTCCTATTCCGTGTAGGTTGTCGCAACTTTTAACTCTTAAAAGCTCAGACAAGTTAAGTTAAGTTTGTCCAACACATTTAATTGCGACGTTTAATTTCAAATCATTATAAATTTATTTAGATTCACGAATATTTACGAATGTCTTTTTTAAAGTAATTTGCATAAAACGAACTTCTCTCATTCGCGCTTTCATCATGTTTTCAATAATTGCATACAGTATTTTGCACCCACCCAGTATAAATCTCTGCCATCAGCACAAAATCTCACATCTGTCATTTTAATAAATTAACCGTATACCTGCATTGGTGCGAGTATAACATTTAGGGGATTCCCTTAAACTCGTAAAGTCTTAAACCGTGTAAAACTCGTAAGTTTACAAGGCTTTGATGGGAATGCCCCCTTTGCGAAAAGCTGTAAATAGGTGCGTAAAGTGACTGTTGGACAGATCAACCAGGATTTTGTGAAGCAATTTTTGTTTCGTAGTATTTTCCATAACATTTTAACAACAATTAAAAATGCCGAAAATTGGCGGAAAACCTAAGTCAATACAGTTAGTGAATGAAACTCACTCATTTTATTCGCGTATTATTTTTATTTTATTTATTTTTTTCATTATTTTATCATACATTTTAGTATAAAAATTTCGGCCTCTCGGCAATACTGAGGTTTACGAGGTTACGCATCAAATTTGCCTCCTCGTAAATTTACGAGGGGCTCGTAAATAGAGCTCCATACAAATTTTGACAGTTCTATTACGCGGCTCGTAAATTTACGAGGTTTACGAGGATTTGCGATTTTAAGGGAACACCCCTATTGTATTTGCACAAATACACATACACACATATGTGCAATGCAAATATGCATATTCGATTAAAAGGGAAAATAAAATTCATAAATTCTTAAAAAATTCCTCGCCCCCCCAACGCAATAAGGCTACAAAAAATCTAAATCCAATGATGTTATAAATATTCTTCAGTATTTAGCATACATATTTATTAATGTAAACAGAATTTTTGGCATTTACAATGAAGTTACAAAAGGATAAACAAATGTGACAACGCAGCGCTGCAATGCAAGGCAATGAGTAGCATCATGCAATTGAGTAAGCGACAACGAGGCTGTGTTGTATGCAGCAATGAGCAATATGCGCGCGTATAGTATATTGCTGCATGCAACATTTAAATTAACGCAATGTTGCAACTTGTCAATGCAACGTAGTAGCAGGTAGTAGGTGACACAAGTGTAAGTGGGAGTAGGTGAACAAGTTGTTGTTGTGTCATATTGTCGGTTGTAGCTGCATTTATTTCACACATAAATTGTGTGAGTTTTCAAATGCCAAATGATTTTCCTCCATAATAAAATAGGCATCTACATACATATGTACATATGTATTTAGTTTGGCCATTTTCACTTTATTGGTTTATAAATGTTTAAGGAACTGTGTCTTTGTCACACATCATTCACATCAATCAATTCGAAAACTTAACGCTTGCGAAATATTTTATGGGAATGTATTTATTGCAGGAGCGTGTGCCGCAGCTGTGGGAGGCCATCAAATACAAGCAGCCATATATATATATATCTTTTTATATGTATGTGTGTGTCTCTGCGTAGAGACGTCGATTATAATGTAAACAGAAATTAGGGCTGTCAAAAGCATATTGAATTAATTATGAACTTCTAATCCCAATTCGGTCATTACTTAAAAGGCATTCACTAAAAAATAAATGTCGTTAACAATTTACCACTGTTTACACTGTACTAGGTGAAATTAAGTTTAATGTCTTAAGAATAATTCATTGAGCCATATGCAAATTAAAATTTCAGACCTTTTACTTGATTTATTCAAACAAAATTTAATTAAAAGACATGAAGTTTTCAGAGAAAGCAATTGCTTAGTTTTTATTCATACGGCCCATTGTCTTTTGAAAGTGCACTTTGTGTTAGCAAAAAAAATATTTTGACATTTCTTGAAACGCTACCAAGGTCAGCATTTCCGCAATGTGAGCTATTCTGCCAAATATAAAGTTTGAATTTCTGATAAACAGATTTTTTAGTACATAATCTTGATATTGTCAATAGTGAACTATTTTTCGATTATATGGAGAGGAAACAATTTTTTTTAAATACCCACCGTATAAATGTTTTTATAAATGTAATTTTATTTTTTTTTTTACGAATATTTAAAACAAATATTTTGATAAAACAAAAAAATGGAACCCTTTAAGCGCCACGGCCGCTAAGGATTTTTTAAATTTTTTTGCAAAAATTTTGGAAGCTAATTATATGAGTTAATAAATATTGGATTTTTTCAAATCATTAACTGATTTAGCTATACTAAATTTTGACCAAAAATTGGGTGGAATTTCCCATAGCGCATTTTAAAAAATATAAAAAGAGTAGCAGAAAACTCTAAAGAAAATCGTGAACTTAAGATAAAATGTTCCTAATTAATTTTTGTTTTTTCGAAATTCAGCATTGCACAGTTTAAAACATCAATAAACTTTTTTCGGTGTTTATTAAAAACCAGGGACGGTAATCAACATTTAATCATTATTTTATGGTTTTCATTTTTTTCGCTAAAAATAATAATTATTAGTGCTTTTTTTTCGCTCAACGGAAATAATTATTATTTGATTTTTATTTTTTCGTTCACAAATAATGATTACATATTTTAAGATTTTTATTTTCCCCCTCAGAAATAAAAATTATTATTGAGTCTTATTTTTCCACTTAAAAATAATGCAATTTTGGCCTGGAAATTTTGGGACTTATTCCTTATTATTTATTAGGTTGTCACTCCCTCTGAAAGGAATACGTCGAAAATCACGCTGCTATAGCTTTTGAGTTCTTTGAATGATCATTATTTTTTAAGTGAAAAAATAAAACTCAATAATAATTATTATTATTATCATCAAATAATCATTATTTTTGATCGAAAAATAAAAATCAAGTAATAATAATTTACTTTGAGCGGTAAAATAAAACTCAAGGATTAATTATTATTTTTAATCTTTAATTATTAAACTCGAAAAATAAAAATCATGGTAAATTACGGTAGAACGTACGAACACAAATACATACGTGAGTATAGTTAAGATTCTTTAACGACGTTACAACTTGTTGATTTTTTTTTTTTGTTAAAATTTAAAAATTAATTACTTTACACCCCTGTTAAAAACCAGTGTTTCAAACAAATTTGAAATAAGCTCAGTTTTTATACGGTTTTATAGCTACGCTGTAAAGAAACAAATAAAATTAGAGAGCACCTTCCTATATAAAGGTCAATTTTCAAAGTAAAAACAAACTAGTTTATGCCCTTTGTCTGTTGCCGTGAATATTTTCATTTCTGAAGGTTTTGTCTCCATTCGTACGATGTGATCGAGCCAACGGAGCCGTTGTACTGTTATTCGTTGCACTATGTTTATATTGCTGCAAAGTTCAAAGAGCTCAAACTTCATTCATGCATATAGTGAAGACCTGGTCTTAAGTCATAATTACATATAAGGCCTAAATAATTCGTTGACGGTGGGCTTCAGCCTTTCACAAAAGCCACTCAGTATGATCTTATGTATGTATATCCAATGTTTAAGAGGCGAATCCTGCGGTAGTTACCGCGTGGAGTGGGCAGAGCACACTTAAATTCCCGTCGACGGGCATAAGTTCGCACGAACATATTCTACACAAGTGGTGATGCTTGCACCTTATTATCTCCCGCCGCCGTACTTCAATAGTGCAGCTTCAGCTGGGTTTTTCGTGGGAGTTCGGGTTCATATTTTTACGTTAAGTTACATCAAGTTCTTCGAGGATGTTAAACGGTTATGCGGTCAAAGAGGGGATCTCTTTCAACTCACAAAAAAAAAATTATTTTTATCGTCTTCATATTGTTCGGTGGAAATTCAGTTCAATACGAATACATTTTTTTTTTTAATATTTAAAAATTGCCCTAAAGCAATTTCGTATTTTTCTAAAAATCAATTACCTCTAAAAATCACCACCCTCATATTGTAATATGGCTAATATGTCTTTAATAGACGAATTCATAAAATTTACAAGGCAATTTTTATCGAGGAAATTAAGCCAAATGCCGGCTGCTGTGCAGGCGGACACTCCAATGACATTTTCGCAGTCTCAGTTGCGTCGACGCGACAAAATGAAGCGAACAGGTACATAGATGACCGACCATAAGTTATTTGCTAGTCGCCATTAGCTGCGAGGCTGTAATGCAAATCGAATGCGGTGGAGAAGAATTGTCGTGGAAAGCTTAGCAGAAATCGCACTAAAAATACTAGAACGGATGGCGAAAAACTCGACCATTCAATGTGTCACATAAAGTGCGTTCGCCAACAAATAGACGTCGATTCTTTTTCAATATAGAAAATATTTCGATTAAATAATTAATTCTCCTTCAATTTGTCAATAAACTCGCCCCAAAACGTGAAACGATTTTTCAGTTAACGATTAGCAAAGCGAGTGCACGAACGTATAAAGAAACGCCCTAACATAACGGCCGTGGTCGAGGTACATAACGCGAGTGTTAGATAACCAAAAAAAAAAAAAAAACTAAAATATCCTTTTCAGGTGTGTCAAGAAAAAAATTTAATTGAAAATCAAAACAGAAGCACATTTAGTGTATTTTAGAAATGGGCGACCCAATCTCTTTTTCTGTTGAGGATATGGAGAAGGTACTAAGCGACATCTAGAAAAAATTTTCGAAAAACTTTCAAATTGTATTTTCATCTGTGTAGCGACGCCGCCGCGCTAGCGCTGCTCGAAAGGCTTCGATTGTGCGTCCTCCTTCGCCGCCAAAAATAGAATCCGAGTCCTTGGCTGTCATCAATGAAATATTTAACCCAACTTATATAAAACCAGTTACCAAAGGTCCCTATCGCGCTCCCGATGAAGTGTCTGCCGATGACTTTGAAGCTATGAAGGATTTAGATATTAGCAAAGTGGCTGAATTGAAGGAAGTAAAGAAAAACAAAAGTGTTGTTTTTTTTTTTGTTAATCGAACAAGCAAATTATTTACATCCACATATCTGGTGTGTATAGGTTTTTCTGCTGCTCGACCTGGACAGCGATGGTTTGATATCGAAGGATGATTTACGTTTCACTTTCACAGCGCTTGGCACAGACACACCTGACGAGCAGATCGAAGAAATGTTAAAAGAGGTGAATTAAACAGATTTGAATGATAGCGAGTACATGATTTATGCTTGCCATTTGATTGAAACAAACCAAAAAAAAAAAACAAAAAACATGCATGTACGAGTGATAGAAAGTGAATAAATTAAGAGTGTCCAAATATGTATGATAAAAAGTTTAAAGTTAAATATGGAAATGTGTACATATAAGTATAAACGTTCATATAGGCAAAGGATCCCTTGGATTATGAAGCTTTTATCGAATTAATGAGCCACCGCACCGTGGAGTTGGATCCTGAGGACGTGTTATTGGAAGCCTGGAGTAAGTGGGATGATTATGGCACAGGCAAAATAGAGGAGAAAAAGTGAGTAAACGCTGATATACATATTTACTTACATACGTATAACCTGATTCTATATGACCCCACACACGTATTTAGTATTTACTTTATTTTATAATTTGTTTTGATTTTGATTGATATTGAACTACAAACTTGAGTATTGGCAAGCGCTGTTAAAACTTAAACTCGTTTGCTGTGCGATTCAGTTGTAATTTCCAATAGCGTAAGCGAACCTATCACACGCACGAATCATTACAAAATAGTCAAACGCATTTGCTAAAGATTTGCACGCTTTCTCTACATGAATATATCAGACTCCGAAACCCATCGTAGTTATGACTCATGTCGAGAGAGAAGGAGTATCTTTATATTGAAAATTTATATTTGATTATTATAAGATTTTTTTTTTTGATTGCTTCGAATCCTTCATGATCTAAATCAGTAATCTGAAAATAACTTTAGAATGAAAGCTTGCCATCAGAATCGTGCGACAAAAGCAAAACAAAATTTCAAAAGACAAGAAAGAATCGATATACTCACGGAACTATGGGCCAAATATAGTAAAGCTGCGTTTTTGGTTTATCACTCTGACGTCAGAATTTTTTTTCAAAGGAATCACAAATTTTAAATATATGATTAATTCAAAAAAAAAGTTAAAAATAAATAAATCAGTGCAATGTAGAAATACAATATGGGTACCAAATGGGAGAGGAAATTCTGTAGAATTTCGAAACAATAAAGTCTTTTGATTTACAAGGACGAATAGGTATTGAGAATGTGCTTTTAATAAATTTTATCTTTTTAAGTTAATAAAATTTTCAGAACGAAATTCGAGGTTGAGGTTGTGCGTATATTAACCCCCCAAAAATAATTAAAAGGTAAAAAAAAACATTGCAAATTTTCAAGGATATTTATGGAAAAAATTGTAAAGGACATTTTCCATACCCATTCGTCCTTATGTACCGTAAAGTTTATCCTTTTATAATTCTACAGATTTTTTTTTTGTTATGATACCCGCACTGTTATCCTACATTGCACTGAATTTTTTAAATAATTTTTTGAAATAATCATACTTTTTAAATTTCGAAGTCCTTAAAAAAAATACAGACGTCAGAGAGAAAAACTAGGTACGCATTTTTACTAAAATGTACCCATAGTTTAGCGAATATATTAATTTTTTTTTTGTGTGTAAAATATATTGTCGCACGGCATAATTATTAAGGCTGTGTGTAAATTGCTACCTAAATAGAGAAAAATCCTAAATCCTTCTCAAGTGTTTTTCAAGCACTGAAAAGGACAATTTACATTTTTTGAGCATATTTGTCAACCCAAGTTTAATTATGGAATATATTTGGACGAGCAATTAAGCGTACAATGATTTGTTTTTTGGTTTAATTAATTTGTATGACAAAAAAAAAAATTACTTTAAAGCAAAAAGCAAAACCCACTTCAATTCTCATTTAAAAATTTGAGACTACCAAAATTTGTTCATGTTTCTAAGATCGAACTAAACCAAATTAGTATGGGACCACCTCTGAGGTACCACCTTTCCTTTAAAAAGAGTATTACAGAAAATTGTTAACGTGGCCCAAGATTATGCGGTAACATACATAAAAATAATAAGAATAATACTCCGGCGAATTGATAAACTCTTCCTTTTTTAAAGTCGATTAAAAAGGAAATATTTACCAAAAAGTGGAATTTTCAATATTTTCAAAAGCTTATACATATCGCTAGGTTAGAGTGCAAAGTTGCTAAGTCCATTTTATTTTAATTTACAGGAGAGGAAAAAACTTCTTATAGCCATTTCCTTCAAGTATTCGCAATTCTTTGAATACAACATTTCGCCCGTTTAAAGCAAAGCCAAACTCCATACGAATAAGAAGGATTCGATCTTTATTAAAAGATTTCGTATTACTTTGGTTGTGTCGGATTTTCGGTGCCTCCTTTGGACTTAGCAAATTTGCCTTTCATTGAATGAAAGCGAGAAAAACTACAACCTATAAATTAATCTTTTTCGAAACGATGAATTTTTAATATCCTCTGCTTCCTTTATCAAAATAAGAGTTTTCATAAAGAGTGAACCGAGCAACTTTTCACTCGTAAGATAGCGATATTTCGAAAATTCATGAACCGATTTTCACAACGTGGATATGGTTGGAAACGTAATTGAAATATATTTTATTTTATATACACTGAAAATAAAACTTCGTAAAAGTGCTACGAAAAACTTTCGTAGTCTCGGTTTTTGTACAATGTACGAAACTTTCGTTCATAATACGAACTCATTTTTCACAACAAAACAAGGCACGAAAGGAGTTTCGTAAGGCATTTTTTTAGAATAATTTATGAAAACTTGCGTTTATTTTACGAAACACATTCGTAAAGTTTAAATAAATTGATAAGATAAAGTAAATATTGCAATATGGGTAGCAAACTAAAGAGGAAAATTTACTGCTGAAAATATTTTTAAAGGGTGTTACCAACTAAAAATATTTCATTCAAAAAAAATTCCTTCATTAAAATTGATAAGATAAATAAAATTACAATCGATACCCGATTAAACTAAAAAGATTTATAAAAGTTTACTGTCAAAGATATTTTTGAAGCGGGTTTTCACCTATTTAAAAAGTTTAATTCGGTTAAATTGATAGGATAAGGTCAATATTGAAGTACACCATTAAGGAAACAATGCAATGAAAATCGATTGATAAATAAACCAGTTTTGTATGGTCAAATGAAAAAGTGCAATAATTTTTTATGAAATATAAACAAGAAATAATGTTACTCATACGCCACATCGTACATGACTTTCTCGCACATAGCGTTTGAGTAACATTTTCCATGTTAAAGTTTGAAGTTTATTCCATTCACAATGCAAACTTAAAATGCAAATATTTTAGGAAAATTAGATTTTGGGAAAAACGGTATACAGACCCGTAATCTACGACCTAAACTTAAGTTTTTGTATCTCGGTTTTTTTCTATATAATTTTAGGGTTCCTAAAGTGCAATTATTATCTCTTATTTAGTGAAAAAATAAAAAAATAGAAATCATAGAATAGTCGTTATTTGTGATCGAAAAAAATAAAAAAATAGATATTTTTTCAGATGAGCGAATAAATATAACTCAAAAATGAATGCTATTTTTAAACTATATTATGTTTAAATACTCTGTTGCTTGCTTCTCTCGCGAATATCTAATGCCGAGTTTTTTTTTACCTTATTTTGTGATTTAGTTTCAACTTTTTAAAATTTTCCAAATCATAAAAATCCTTTCCTTGACTATAACAACAATACTACCACTGATATATGTACCTTGAAATGATGCTCTATTCTCTTTTTTTTTTAGAATGTATGAAGAACTTACCAACTTCGGAGATGTCATGACCACGGCTGAAGCCAATGAAGCGCTTAAATATGCACCGATAGCCAAAGCAAAAACACTTGAAGAACCTCCCATGATTGACTATCCGGCCTTCTGTCGTATCTTGTGTGGTATGCGAAAGCGAAAACCACGACAGGAAGATTAATAAAAAAAAAAAACAAAAAAAACATGCATACATATATATCCACCTATAACTTAATTTATAGTACTTTACTAGCAACCAGTCCAAAATGTGACTTATTCTATCCACAACCGCATACATATGTAGAACTTACATATACATATATGTATGTACATATGAACATATGTATGTAAGCACATGTGTCTAGTTATTTTATTATGAATACCATGTAAAGTGAAATTTTTATTACACACGAATACTTTTTTGTCTTTGCTCATTCGAATTTTTCTGTTTGAAAATACAATAAATCAAATGAGCTGTGCGGCAAAGGGGCACGCAGAACAAAAATGCGCTGTGAGCGTTTAAACCATTGGCATTTTTATTTTTAACCGTCCTGCAAGCTTTGTACGCTTCGAGCGCCTCGCATGACCAAACCCACCAATGACTAATAAATTTTCAAACTCAATTTCGTTTCATGCACTTGCACGTTCACCACAAATGCCGCCAATGTCGCCAATGCCTGCCTGGTGTTCGCCGCTTGCTTCGCTACAATTATTGCCCATTGCTTTTGCTACTTTTGCCTTTGCTTCTGCTTCGCTTACTGCCTCATTGCTGCAATGCCACGTTGTGTTGCTGGCTATTTGGTGCACTTCCGTTACCATTTTCAGCTGTTCGGACTACATAGAAATATTTCCGTTCCTACGGGAGCCCGTCATTGAGAGCTCGACTAATCCGGATTATGTTATTTGCAATCGCACTACTGTCACATCGGCAAGTGTGCCAGCATTAGCATCTACTACTCCAACGGTGGCAACACCAACGCTTGCAACCAAGAGGACGGCGGCAACTAAACCAGCGCCACCCACTACGGTGGAAGCCAAGCAGAAAACATCGTCCGTTAATGTCAATGCATCGTCAATGGCGACACTAGCTATCAAGAAGCCAACGATGCTGTCGATGAGTAGCGTTGCCAACTATGCGCATTCGACGGTTATTGCTGCCAATAATTCGGTTGGCGGCAGTATCGGTGATTTACGTAGCAATGAGTTTATTTATAGCTCAGGCAAAATTTTCGGTATTCGCGTCCGTTTCAAGCAGCAACAACAACAACAGCGAGAGAAATCACTTCAAGCTGCTGATGATGCCGATGCCCTCAAAAGTTTCCAACTCAACATTACCGGAGAGTATCGATTCTTGAAGAAGGGTAATGCATTTTACATATACATATTTACGCCCATGATTTTTTAAAATTAGATCTATTGATTTTTTTATTGATTAATAGTGCGCTGCTGAAACCAATTATTATTTAATATATCCTAATTTTACTTTTGTATTCAGACATATACAGTAGAGTGGTCCAAAAAAATAAAGTCGGAGTTTTAATGCCGGCACACCCTAGGATTGATCTATATCCTAAAAAATATACCCAAATTTTTTTATCTTGAAATCAAAAAATATTTAGGGAGTGCCCAAAGCGCCCAAAGTTTTCCATGTATTTTATATAGAGAAAAAACATCTTTTCGTAGAAATAGTGTAGAATTCTTGAAAATCCATATTTTTCGATCGGAAAACTTTACTTATCTTCAGGAGACTCCCAGTAATAATACCCAATGTTTTTTTAAAAATTTTTCATGGTAACTATATTTTATAGGTCCTCCAAAGCCCTTAGAAAATGCAATGGGGGGACCAATAAAAAATCTTTTATCATAAAAAATGGTTAAATAAACAATTGGATATTAATACTGGAAGTCTCCTGAAGAGAACCACAGTTTTCCGGTAAAAAATATTATTTTCAAGAGTTTTATACCATTTCTACTAAAAATTGTATTTTCTCCATATAAAATACATGGAAAACTTTGTCCGCTTTGAGCACTCCCTAAATGTTTTTTGATTTCAAAATAAAAAAATATGGGTATATTTTTTTTCTGTATATAACAATCGTAGGGGGTGGCGGCATTGAAAATCCGACCTTATTTTTTTACATACATTTTTGGACCACTTTAATGTACAGGCTATGATAAAAATGTATTACATAGCACATATTTATGTAGGTAAAATAAAACACCGAGTGACGAAAGCTGAAATAGAAACACAAAATTTATAATATCAATTTCGTGACGAAAATTATTAATTTTAATTAATTTGTTTAACTGTCCTGAAAACTAAGGGAAAATAGTCTTTTTTATTTCCAGGGCAGTTAAAAAAATTAGTATAATTTTCGTCACGAAGTTGATATAATAAATTTCGTGTTTCTAGTTCAGCTTTCGTCAATCGAAAATTTTACCTCAAAGAGTTGTTTTATTTTATATCAATTATTTTGGGATAGCAAATTTAAAATCAACGAAAATCCAAACAAAAATGTAAAAGTTTTATTTTTCTCAAATAAATTGCTAAACACTATCTAAATCTAAATGATTTATTCAAATATTTAACATTGAACTTTATTCCATTAAACATTTAATTTTTCGAATACAGCATAATGGCCTTATTAAAAAAAATAAATAAAATGCTGAAAACCTATTTGAAATTTGGCAAACTCCAAATTGATTTTAGACCTATGGTTTCTTTGGAAAATTTTCTTAGAATTACAAGGAGTCAAAAAAATCTCCTCTACAAATTGACCCGCCCTAATATAGCTATATATACATATATGAGAAATTGAACTGAACACAACTGGCCTTCAAACGAGAAAGTTCAAACATTCTGAAGCGAAAATTTGCATAATTAAATAATTAAATAATAAATGATTGAAGTTAACAACAACGTGGAGCTTTGTACCAAAATGTCACATTTCCATTGTAAACGATTATACGTAGATTGACAAAGTTGATTTCTTACCATCGATCTTTGAAGTAATTTTACAGGCAATAAATACCTTAAGTAATGGTGAAACTATTACTATTTTTTTGTATATTAGAATACTTTTATCTTTTAGCCATTACAAGTTAATTAACAAACAAAATTTTAGTTTATGATGCGACTGATTGGAAATGTAGCGTTTTGGTGAGTTCATTACAACAATGTTATAACTAAACTGTTCCAAGAAATATTACGTTTTGCTTAAAATTGCATAAATCATAAAAATTAAGAGATCGGTTTTATTTTATACACATACTAAATTTTTATTTTTATACCTTAAGTGCACAACCAGTCTCACAACAATTACATACTCCTAATTGATCGTCGATTTCATATATTTCGATATCAAAAGCGGGCCTTTCTTCATTAAAGATCGTTTTGAAAAAATTCAAGCTTTCCAAATCGCCGAAGGTATTTCTTCAATAACTTAGATAAATCTTTCATTTTTCATTCGCTATTTTATTGCCCTTGGAAATACTTATATCTGTTGTGGTCGCACACAATCAGAGCCGGTTTCAACATGTCGAAGCCCCTAAGCAATATAATTGTCGAGGCCCTAAAATATATATTTTTTTATACTATAATTAGGCTATTTTTTCACTACATCATTCGTCAGTCCAAGATATACCTTCGTAATGTCCTTGTACAATGACACAAATGAATAATGCAAAAATCATTTTATACGATTTCTCTTCAGGTAAAATAAAAATAAATAAAATATTTGGATTAATTTTATATGAATCCGACCAACTGGTTTATGCAAAAAAAATCGACATACATTTTTGTTCAGCTATGCCTCTTTTTTTTTGAAGAAAATGTTCGATATTTAGTTTCTAAGGCGTGCTCACAATCTAGTTAATATGTTTAAGATTTTGTTTTCCGCCTTGTAATTTTATGATAATTTGGTAATCCACCATATGCAAGCTTTCAAGAAACTTTAAGATTATGTTTATACCACTGTATGAAAATCCAATTTTTGACAAAAGATATGAATGAATATGTATGGAATTAGATATAAAAAATACGTGTAACTTATTTCATAGACCCAACGTTTTGCGGAAAAACCAAATACATACATGCATATGCAGTATATATATGTATGTATATATATGCAGTATATGTATGTATATATGTATGTACATATACATATTTTGTAATTGAAACTTTTTAGAACACTTCCAAAATGATGGACGCCTTATACCTGGATCATATTGTGATTACTACTTTTTTGCTGATGCCAATGCAAAATCAGAAAATTTCGAAATTTGGCAATACTTTCATTCGCCGCGTTTTCCAGCCAAATATCCGGCGCATATTAAATGTGCTTACAAATTTATTGGCAGGTATTAAACACTGTATGCGAAACAACAAAACATAATAATGCAAAAATATAAACGAACTAAGGTTAATTTCTAGCTAAGTAATTCCAAACTGTATCCCTTTTTACTCTCAGACCAGAAAGCTGCGTAGAAATAGTATTTGAGGAGCTGCAATTACCTAAAAAGAACAACAGGTATTTACGTCTGCGCTAATTCAAATAAAAATATTTGCATTGGTATGTAAAAGTACCTAAGATATTTTCTTCAAACCCAAGTCAGCTTATACTAATATTCTCTAATAAATTTACTTCATATTTTCTTTTAAACCCGTATTTAATTTAGCTGCAACATGGATAAGCTAACCATTTTTGATTCGGAATCTGCCAATATGAATGCTGTTATTGATGTAATTTGTGATGTGTTGCCATCACGCCGCATTGTTAGCTCCGGTCCTGATTTACTTATAGAATTCAATGCCAGCTCCAATATAACGGCCAAAGGATTTCGCGGCAAATACAAATTTATACACAATGAAATCGCTTATCAAACAACGCCAGCAATACTAACCAAACAAACAACAGGTAAATGCAATCTTGAGTTATAAAAAAATAAATCAAACCTATTTGTACATATGTACATTAGTGCGTACCACCTTGCTAACTTAGTTAAGATCAATGAACTTTGCACTAACAAAATTGCATCATCGAGGCAAAAACATCGAAAAATTACGAAAAATGTAAAGAGACAAGCCTTACGTTCGGTCGAAAAAAAACTTTTTCGAAATTGACTTGCAAAAATACTCATACTCATATGCATGTGTGAATACTTATACCGAGTTTAATGAGGCGATAGTACAGGCAACGCCTAGTGTGAATGGTCTTTCAACTAATCGCTTCCAACGAATTTGGGATGCAGCCAACTTTTGATTCTAAAAATTTCTATAAAATCGCCTCATGTAAACACCGTATAATCTCCTAATATATATGTATAAACATTTTTGTGTGCATATTTTCATATGTTCACTGCTTTTTAATACGCACAGAAAAAGTTATGGCTTTGGAAACAATCGGCTTTCGAAAGGAGACTCAACATCCAGTTCTCACAGTCGATGAATGGGATAAATTTTTCAAGGATAATGGTGAGTGGGAAAAAAATCTTATTCCGGAAGGAAGTTTTTATCTTTTGAATGTCGAAAAGAAATTTAACAACAGGATAATAAAAACGTTAAGCTTAGTTAAAAACAAAAAACACTTTACCCTGGGATATAAACGAAGGCAAGAAAATCGTATCTACATATCACTCATATACGAGTACTAAAATTAAGCCACTCAAAAAATTTGATTTTCGAGGGGGTGCGTTTAAAGTTTTCAATTGATTTCAAAATGTAGAAAAAAGTTAGGCATATTGTTTTCTTACGCGGAAACCACACAGACTCTTTACACTAAGCTTGTCCACAGTATGAAACATAATACAGCTAATATTTTTTCAACATTTGGCAAAAAGTTTTGTTTTTTGAATTGTAAGAGTATTTTAGTCAATAAGCGGTACGTACAGAATACTCCGATATCCTAATATCCCTTCTGATATTCTAGTATATTTACGGTGACCATTGTCAGTCCTCTTCCTTTCTCTATTCTCTATTTCTTCTTCTCTATTTCTTTTGACGTCGTGTATTTCTTTTAATGTTCTGTATTTATCCTGTATTCGGTGTTCGGCTTTTGCTCAGTTTTAAGTAACGTTTTTATTTTTATTTTTTTTTCAAATAGTTTTCAACTGACCCTCCAATAACAGCCCAAGATACGATCTTGAAGCGATTGAAAAATTGTTCTTAACTTTTACAAAAAATTGTCTGTGACCAAACATCGTCATTTTGAGCTGTTCAAAAAATGATCAGAATTGGTATAACCAATCGAGCAAAGAATTAAAATCCTAAAACTTTCGAAGAGAGTTATTCAGCCTTATCATGAGTTTCATTTTCCCTGAACCGGTTTACTTTTCACGTTCGGTTTCCATGTATTTACTCAAACTCAGGGTAAGGCATATTAGCCATAACTTCCAAAACAATTCAAATTTCGAAAAATTATCAAATTTGTATTTTTATGAGTTTCAAAAAAATGTTGGCCCACTTCACAAATATTTACTTCATAGGAAGCAAGAGAAATCGTCCCCAAAAGGTACCTCTTTTATTTCTTCCTGTTTACTAATATTCAATGAAAGGCAAATAAGACTAAAATAATACGAAATGTTTAATTAAAATTGATTCCTTTTGATTCGTATGGAGTTTTGCTTTGCTTTTAATATTCAAAATGTTGTTTGATAAGATTTGCAAAAAATACTTGAAGAAAATAGCGAGAGGAAATTTATTCCTCTGCTGTAAATTTTCAAAACCAAATTGGGCATGGAATGACGGAAAATCGTTCCAAATACACAACAAACCAAAAGGAAACCATTACTTAATGTTGATTTTAACAGCGAAGTATTCATTACCCGCAAATGTTTACCTTTCCAAAATAGTCCCCTCTCATTCAGATATTTACTAGCCTACCACACTCAAATCGTTGGCATTTCTTAATTTCCATGAAATATCCGATGCTAGGTCGCCACGTTATGCTGATCATACCAGCGCTTACTAATGTTATATCGGGCGAGTTGCTGGAGCTGCCCGCAATCCTGCTGGGTGCGTCGTCGTTCATTGCGCCGAATGTCGGATCTTTTATCTGCTCAGCCAATCGTTTTCCTAACGATCGTTCGACAGGCTTGAATGCCAAAGATCGTGGCGCGCGTTGAAGTCTCCAACTCCATACGGTTTTCACCTCCCATGCTCACTATTTATGCATGAGGCCCAATGAGTTAGAGCTGTCTAAGAACATAAATGTATGCGTTCTTATTTTTAGTTGCGAGTAATAGCGTTGAACAACTATCGACAATACTTATTCGATAGTTTTGATAGCGATAATGTAAAATATGCGATACTATTAAAAAAAAAATTTATACACCTCCTACGTTCGTAAAGAGTGTATTAAATTAAGACGAACTCCTATATTAATAATATAATAAAGCAACTTAAAAAACAATTTATATAGCTACCTTTCTAACAATTGATATTTCAAGTTAATCTCTGTTAACCTATGTATATGTGATTTAATTAATTATATGTATTAATGTATGCCTTTGTATTGAATTTATTTGTTGTACTAATAAAGATCTTAGTCTTACTGAACTAATATCACTGGTTTACAGCAAAAATGTTCTATGGAGATATTTTTTTTCTACGGATACGTTTTCGAGACACATATTTTCAATTTACCGATATTCAGCTTAAAACAAAAATTGGTTCCTTTTAATCACGTATATCTTACGAACTAATTTAAAAATCTTAATATAATATACGGAAAATGAAAGCTAATGAAATTCTCCATATAAAATTCTCCGTATATATATCACTTTCCGAGTACTAAAGCCCGTTCTGTTACAAAAAAAAATCAAATTACTAATGAAAAATATCGATGGATAAATAAGAAATAATGAGTGGTCAAATGAAAATACGCAAAGATTTCTTGAATGAAAAATCAGCAGGGAAGAAAGTTACTCATACGCCACGTACACCTAAGTAACACGCTTTTTTTTGTTGCTCCCTTTCATAACATCTAAACCTACACTGAGAGAAAAAACTTTTAGAATTAAAAATGAAAGAGCACCAACGCAACTCGTAATAAATTTAAGTGTCCAAATTTTAGTATTTAGTATGAAAGTATTCAATTCAAATACGCCCATATTAATATGAAACGTTTGGCACTTCCCGGATGCTTTTTCATAATTAAGATAAACAAAAAAAATGTATTTCCAAGCTGCCTGCAATGGCGTTTGAACTCTGACCGTCTGAAAATTAACAAATTGTGGCAAGCATCTTTGTGCACTCAGCTAAGGCCAGACATGTAAATGCGCTTTCAAATATTGAGTTTCAAGCAACTGTGGTGAACACATGGCTGGTATGAAAGGCTTATTTTTAAAAACGAACATTTTAAAACGATAATAAACCCAGCAAAAACTTTAATTCTTTTGTAAGCCCTTACTTTTTGTATCGATGGAGTAACGCTTTACAATTCGCCGCAAGACAAAATTTTTCACTTTCTCGTTTAACCACTGCATTACAGTAGTTACTGATTTATCGCAGTTTTCGTGTTTCTGTAAATTACCGTTATATATCTAGGAGGTGGGCGTGGTTATTTCGCGATATCGAAGATTTTCAACATATTTCTTGGCTAGGCCCTAGACCAGGGGTTCTTCAACTTTTAAGATGATGGAACCCTTACTAAACACCTTTCATTTTATGGCTTAGCTAGCAAGCGCAAGCTCAAAGCTCTTATGTAGGTATGGCACTCAGTACGGTAATCATACCAACAACGAGTACATATGTATGTATACCTGAATATAGATAATTGCGTCTCGGTCAAGCTCTTTATAGAACTTTTCTTTCTGTGTGGGAAACATACATACCGAATTTCGTTGAGATATCTCAACGGACGGACAGACAGACATGGCTTAATCGACTTCTCTATTCATTCCGATTATTTATGTATACATTCGTCTATATCTATCTCGATTCGTTTTGGCTGTTACAAATAACCGTTATGTGAACAAAGTTAATATACCCATGTGCACAAGTGCGCTCGGGTATAAAAATATTCATTTTTACCAAGAATTATTTCGCTCAGTGAATTCATAATAATTTTCTTAATATAACAACGCGTTTTTTATTGTATTAGTTAATACTGCGGTAAAATTAGATTTTCGCTTTTTATGGAAGATAAATATACGATATTTGAATTTTATATTTATTGGTTTGCGATAAATATTGAACTAATGCACCTTCGAAGAAAGTACGTGATATGTAGACTCGAGTTATAAGATTAAAAAAAAAAAAATTGAGGAGAAGGTCTATACTTTAAAAATTTCTTTAAACATCTCACTTCATAAAGCTCTTTAAATCTATTTTATGTTTTATGAATGAGGCCATAAAAAATTTTGGAAAGAAGTAAGGACGCAAGTCATTATTTTTGACTTAATTATCTGCTAAGCTGCTAAGCGCGTACTCGCAGAGCGATTATAAAATTGTGGCAAGAAAACAGAGAAACCACCATAGACAACTGTCTCCGTTTCCGTTTCAACCGCGTACCGGAAGTCGCGTTTTTAACGCACGTAAATTGTCATCAGCGCGTTATCCTTTATGCTTGCTCATTTCACGAGTAGCTATGTACATATGTACGTACAGCCAGCAAGCTAGCCCACTAAGCGAGATACAAAGTAGTCAACCCCATAACCGCAAATCAAATTATGCCGCAACCACAGAGCGCAACTCCATCAAGCCGAACGAAAGTGATTTCACTTAACTAGTTTCTCTTACAAAAACACAGCTTGCGTTAGACGTAGTGTGTTGGCATCTTCGCACCGCCAATTCACCAATTTAGCTGCTATATTCTTGACTACTGCTGCCGGCATTTGTTGGCCTTAATTTCTAGCGGAAGTGGAAATGAACCACAGCGCATATAAACGTACGTAATATTCCCCTTGCTTGGTCGACGCATCGCGTTGCTGTGGGTAAAACCAAAAACCGTAGACGATTACCAAGCCAGCCACTAGCGCGTTGTCAATTGGTGTTAATCTTTGTGTGCGTGTGTGTGTGTCTGTGCATGCGCATGTGTGTATGAGTATGTGTGGGAAACTTCTCTTGCGGCCACTGTCAGCTGCTTGGATTTTGCTTCTTTTCTACAACTTCCGTTCTACAATCGGAGCACGCCAAATCGTCCTTCGTAGGATTCCTAGCCCGCCCCTCCGCACCGTTGCCAAGCTTGTTAGTCGATTGCCGCAGACGAAGTGGTACGTGCATGTTTTACAACAGCAGCATCCTTTGTGACTGCCAACAGTGCTCAGTTGTAGTTTTACAACTGAAGTAGACACTTGTGAGCGCGGAATATCCTTTCTCGAAGTGGTTTAACGATCGCACGCGCTAAAATGCTTGTCGCAGGTTTTCAAAAAAAATTTTTACGAATGTCTAAATATTATCGTTGAGTTGTTAGAAAAAAGCTTGAATTCATCATATTTAATGTGAAACTCTTACGAAATTAAAGTTAAATTAAAATCTTCAAGAAAAATGCCAAAAATGCACTTAACGCGTATAGAGTTCGAATGGCTCTCTGTATTGATACTAATGTGTTTGCACGCAGTGCCCATGACGAACGCTCAAACCGATTCACCATATTTACGCGCAGCAACAACGGTTGAGCATATTTTCTTTAAACCGCAGCAAATAAATGCAACGACAGAGCATTGCACTTTTACGGCGACAACCAGTGAGTGAAATGTTTGAAATGCATGGCTGTGTTAATGTATATCAACAAGTTGATATGCAAATGAATGTATGTATATTTGATGCATAAATTATTAAGACTACGTGAGAGTTAGAGAATTATAAACACATTCACTAAAAAAAAAACTATCAACCACCACGTCATTTGTATTAGCACTTTAGACAAAGCTTCCACTAGTACTATAAATGTGTAAGTTTGTAGGTTAGTGTGTGCGTAAGTGTGTTATTCATTCACCCCGATGCGGCTTTACGTATTTCAGTGAAATTTGGCGCGCGGTTAGGTTACAAAAAATTGGATTAAAATATAGGACATTCTTTGGAGAGAGTTGCCATCGGTTTAATACAACAATATGGATGTTAAACGAAAGGGGTTCTAAAACGATTTATTTCCAAGTAAAGAGGGTTGTCGGCTGTTGAAAATATTAAAATCAATTTAATTAATAAGTTTAGAGAAATATTTTTATATGAGCATTAAACGAGAGAGATTTAAGAAAAGTTTTTTTCGAAAATGGTTTTTAGAGGGCTTCTACCTGTTGTGGAGTAAAAAATTAATTTAATTAACAAGTTAAAATAACTATTTTATATGGAATCAAATAAGCGAGCGTGATAAAGAAGTTAAATTAATTATTAACAGGGGTGCCAAAAGAGAGAAGTTTTAAGAAAGTTTTGTTTCTAAAATTTTTGTTAAGAGTTTTGCCACCTATACAGGAAAGCAAAATCAATTTAGTTAAATTAAGTATTTTATACTAGTATCAAAAGAGAGATATTTAAGAAAGCTCTATTTTAGAAGGTTACAGCATGGTTCGAATTTCATCGTAAGTTTAAATGAAATATTTATTAATATGTTTTGAAATAGTATGAGAGGTTTAGTAAGGTTTATTTCCAAAATATTTTTGGAGAGGGTTGCCAACTGTTTAGGTAGTCAAAATCAATTTAATTAAAGAGTTTATTTAAGTGTTTTATACGAGCATCAAACGCTAAAGGTTTTATTTGTATATAGGTATCGAACGAGAGAAAGCTTTATTTCGAAAATATTTCTGAAGAGAATTACCACTAGTTTCCAAATACAAAATCAATTTAATAAATTTACCGATTTCAAAATTCTAATAGTGCGGAAAATTTGCGTAACATGATCACATTGAACCATGTTAAGCCCGTTTTCTGATTGGATAATAATTACGGTCGCACCAGATCGTGGTTTTTCTATACTTTTCTTAAACGATTTTCTAGAAAGATTTGATTGTAGCCCATTAAATTTAAGTATAATTTCAAAATTTAGTAAAGTATAAAAGAACCACTGTTGAGAAATTTTTCGAAAATATAAAGCTCTTTTGCGACCGCAAATACATAGTATCCCATCAGAAAAGGTTTAACCTGATTCAATGTTAATATGTTACACAATTTGTCCGCACTTGAGCCA